ATGCAGCATCTTTGTTGGCAATCATAACCTCATAAAAAATTCTCCATCTCCAACTTGATTCTTTAACTAATCCATCAGGGTGCATTAAAAATGAGATATTTGCTGAGCATTATCTTCATTGGTTAGGTTTGAACTGAAGAAAAGAAAAAAAAAAATTTTAAGTGACGGTGTACATGTTTTAAGTGAGAAAATGACTAGGGATGTCATCTTCTGTTCTCCTTCATTTTCACCGCCTACAAGTTGGAGAAAAGCTTTTGTAATTAACGCGTCCTCCATTCAAACAAAGTAGCAATAAAATAAGGATAAATTTTCAAAACCAACCTGTTTTGAATCTTAATCTAAAAAAAACCTGTTTCAAACTTAATTTCAAATACCGATCCAGTTGGGCTGAAACTGAGTCGGTTTTTAAAAAAAAAAGTTCTCAAACTTCACGGGAGTTGAAGTCCCGTGAAGTTTTGTTACGTAACAAAACTTCACGGAACTTCAACTCCAATGAAGTTTGAGAACTTTTTTTTTTCAAAAACCGACCCAGTTTCAGCCCAACTGGGTCGGTTTTTGAAATTAAGTTTGAAACAAGTCAGTTTTTGGAATTTTTTGGCAAAGAAGTCTGTCTTGAAAATTTGTCCAATAAAATAATTTGTTAATTTATTTGACCCATCTATCACTCTCTAATGTCACGTTCACAACACGGTCATAGATATGATCACAAATTAACTAGCAAATAAGAAAACAATATGTTCATATTATTCCATTAAAAAAAAAGAGATTGTCACGTACAACATATCGACTAATAATTAAGCTTAAAACTGACGCGACAACATATTAGGCTGCAAAATCAATTTAATTTGACAGCCCGTGTCAAACATTAAGGATGACCTTATGAGCTATTATTACAACGTATAGGACCCCAAAAAGTTTTACCATGGGCTTCGATGAAAAATAGAAAGAATTTGATCCGATGTGAGCTCAAAAGTGCCTTAGTGAAAGTTTATCGATCCGAGGATATTTCACTTCTTGAGCAATTTCAAAACATCTCCTACTAATAAGTGTAAATAACCAGTGACCAGGACCTGAAATGGAGAAGATAACATACTATAAATAAACAATGTCGAGGATAAATAACATACCATAAACTTCCTACTTGCATATTTACATAATACATATAAGGCCGATATAACATTCCTCAACAAAATAAGGGAAAAAATAAAATAAAAAACAGCACATTTATATCTCTCTTTTCTTTTTAAATTTTAAATTTAGCATGCACAGGTTAGCAGTATCAGTAATTCAAATAAAGTGGAAAAAAAAATTATTTCTGCAATTTCAGCGCTAATATGTACCTGAAAACGAATCGATTTATTTTGTCGAGCATTTTCCCTGAGCCACTTGATAGCTGAAGGAAGCGAAGGAAATACTGAACTGCTCTCATCAACCTTCGTAGCATTTGGCTCTTTGTGATTTTTGATCTCGTCATTGTCAAGTCCTAATTATGACCATAAATAGTAATAGTGCTAAAGATAAAAAAAACACTTAAAATGGTGAAGAAGAAAACATTATGTTCAAGTATACCTTTGTTCCCATGAATAAGGTTTTCCCAAACTTTTTGAAGTGTCAGTTGCCATGAAACATCAACTTGTTGATCATTTTGTGTCGTTGCATGTGTATTGACCTTATTATGCACAGACTGATTTGGTACAAAGAGAGCTTTTGTGAAATGAATCCCTGAAATGTATAATCATATTTGAAGTCAATCAAAATAGTAAATAATCATGAATATACAGAGATAAGATGCATAGATCATTTATTACTTCTAACAAACAAAAAATCAGTTAAAACTTAAATTTGTGTTGTACAGCACAACCGACGCATAACTAAAATTACTTTCTGAACTCAGTGTCACATTTGGATGAACGCAAATCAAAGAATCTCTGGTCACATGATAATATATCGTACTTTGAATACATTTAATTACAAATGTGAGCGTATCAAATAGTATCTTGCAACTTAATCTATGGTCTTTGCTATAAAAATATCGATACACATTTAACAAGATAAGCTATAGTTCTAATCTTCTCGTGTTTAAGTGTTAATGACCTTGCTAATTACAAAACAAGCGTAATAGTCAGAAAACCAAAACTCTGTCTAGGGAATATAGGTATGATCACACTATAACATGCAGTCAATATATGGCGACCTGTAGTATACAATATAGTAGGGAGTAAGTAATAAATGATAGCTAATGATACTAATTATGACAAGTGTAATAGTCAGAAATGCAAAATTAAATCAGAATCCACATAACCCAAACGTGCACTAAATCAAGCCAATCCTACTTATCTACTCCTCAAAGGAGAATTCAAAAAATTATTGTTCATACTACAGTAAATGCTATACCATGAACAATAAAAATCTGGCCCTCCGCACTCAAAGTCACTGTTTATGCTACAACATTTACTATAGCATTAACATTAAATCAAATCCTCTCTTCCATACTTAAAGTTACTATTCATGCTACAGCATTTTACTGTACCTTAAACAGTAAAGCATATCAAATGTATTAAGACTTGGATCCTTTTTTTAAGCATAGAGGTAGATATGATTTTTAAATCAAATGTATTAAAATTTGGATCATTCTTTAAGTACGAAGGAGTAGATGTGATTCTAATTTTAAGCATACAATAATTAAATCAAATATATTAAAACTTAAGAGGGAGGCAAGTTCAAAATGCAGTGCTTAAAAAAATAGGGGGTCATGCTTTGCATATGGTGCATGCTAGTGTATAGTATATAGAAGAACAATTGTGATATTCATGAAACTTACCATGATGAGCACAAGCACTTACTAGGGGTGGAAGCAAAAGTTGAGGTTCTCTAACTGACATGCAATTGAATAGAAGTATCTGCAATATACTTTGAAAGAAAATTACTAAACCCGTCATAAGAATAATATAAAATAATGGGTAAATTGCACATAACCCCCTTCATCTGTACATTCAGTTGTGTTAACCCCTCCCCCACCCCAACCCCCCGCCCTAAAAAACAAATAAATAAAATAAAATCATTTACTAGCACGTAGCACCCCTGCATTTTGTATTTTTACAAAGACAAATTGCAGGTAAAACCCTCTCCCTCATGAATTTGAGGCAAGCTAAGTGCTAATAAATGAGTTGTTTTTTTTCGCTTTTAGTTTTTTTTTTGGTTTCTTCTTTTTTTTTTTTTTTTTTTTTTTTTTGGGGGGGGGGGGGGGGAGGTATAGAGTGAAATTTACCCTTAAAAAATCTAAAAGAGAGGCCTTGCCTGCTCAGATTTGCAACTTTCATCTGATTGAGTTTCTTCTCCGATAACATTAGAGAACCATTTCCCACAAACTTCCAAGCTTTCTGGGTTATGTACCCTGTCCAAAGAGAAAACTAAGGGTTCAAAATTTGGGTCAGGGAAAATTTGTGCTCGTCCTGGCAAATTGGCTAATGTGAGCCCTTAGACATATTGTTCTGGTAGAGTATTCTGCTATTCATGTAATTTATGTCAAATGAAAAAAAAAATCAAAAATCAAATTTGATGGAACCCAAACTAAAAGCGAGAAATATTACTCACAGTATCATTGAGCAAAATATTTTCTCATGCCCAGTTCTTTGAAGCCAACTTCTAGATAGGGCAATTGCAAGACTTGCATTTAGATATTGATGTTTGTCATGAAGTCCAAGTTGCTGACCCTTAAGTATTTCTCTATCTAAAGGTGAGACAACTTGAAGGGGAATCTGTAACAAAATGGAGCAGATATTGTTAATTAATGTTCGGATAGATATTTTTGGTGTTTGTAAACTTAAATGCAAACTTACATCTAAGTTTGGAAGCTTTATCTTTGAGGACGGACATTGCTTCTGCCGTCTGAGGCACAGTATATGTAGAAATTTCTTGCTATTTTAAGCAACAACACAACACAAAACAATTTTTTTAGCATCGAGAGTTGGATAGTTTTCTGCAAAAATGAAGTTAAAAGGGTCAAAACCTTGAAGATGCCAGCTTTCTCTCCAGCAATATGTCCCAATGTATTTCCTGTGGATAATGATACCATGCTCAGTTGAAACCCTTCTCAATGGCACTGTTTTTAACTGGACATCATTTATATGTGTATGCGTGCATTGAGCATATGTATGCATGTGTATGTACATCTATCTATGAATTATCAATAGAAACAATTTGAGTGATGACCCGATGTATTGACTGTGGATAATGACAGTAAAGGCTGGAAGACTTATTTTGTATTGATATGAAGTGGGTATTAATAACCCAAGAATACAAATGTACAAGGAAAGTAGAAAACTACAATAAGATACCTAAACCATATCAGCTATACAAGGAAAGTAATTATATACTTCCTATACAAAGAGAAAGATAAAAGGAAAGTAATTATATACTTCCTATACAGAGAGAAAAATACAAAAGGAAAGTAAGGTGGCTGATTAATTATTCTTTACACGCCCCCGCAAGATGGAGGAACCATCAGTGACTCCAATCTTGGATCTGAACCGAAGAAAGAGTCGTTGACCCAATGGTTTAGTAAGAGTGTCAGCAACTTGATCACTGCCAGAAATATGCTTGACACAAAGCCGTTGCGTAGCGACAAGCTCACGAACAAAGAAATAATCCAGCGCAAGATGCTTCATACGTGAGTGAAAAACAGGATTTTTGGCAACGAAGGTAGCACCTAAGTTATCACAAAACAATGAGGGAGGCTGTTTGAGGACAACACCAAGCTCCCGTAATAAGTTCTGAATCCATAGAACTTCTGCAGCGGCATGAGCAAGGGCTCGATATTCAGCTTCTGTAGAGGACCTAGATACAGTTTTCTGACGAGCAGACTTCCAAGAAATAACATTGGGACCAAAATAAATCACATAGGCAGTTGTAGATCTCCCCCCATCCGAGAGACCACCCCAGTCAGAGTCAGAAAAGGCTGTGAGAGTAAACGGAGCACCATAGTGTAGGAACAAACTGTTGGGAATTTAACGCCTAAATCCCCTAATGCAACGGAAACGCGGTATAGAGAACAGTACACCAAGATTTAACGAGGTTCGGCAACTGCCTACGTCCTCGGGAGCCACACAGATAATTTCTTATTTAATCAAACAAGAAATTACAATTTAGGAGCGGATCTCAAAACTGAGATTTCTCAAATAAACACTGTAGCTACAGTGTTAATAATCAAAGGGTATGAACCCTTTCAATTCTCACTTGAGAATAAATACCCCACAATATAAACCCCTCTTTCTTTTCTTCTCTCTCTTCTTAAATCCCCTCAACTACTGCTGTTGAAGATTGGGGAAATGTAAAAATCGCTTCTGCGATTTTAGGGCAGCCGCCGCCGCCAGAAGAAGAAAAATCGGAGGAGGGAAGGAGAAGAACTTCAGCAGCAAAACCCTAGGCTGGAGGGGGGGGTTTTATAGGCGAGTGGATGGCCTGGCGACAGCCTGTCGCCAGCTGCCCGCGGACGCCAAAAGGGGGGCGAACGCAGAGGTCGAAGAGAAAAACGCAGAGCTCGAATGGGGGGTCGAACGCAGACTTCGACTCAAGCTCGTCGGAGCTTCGCCGGAGCTCCTCGCCGGAATTGAGGTTTGATCTACACCCCTTTCTAACAATCTCCCACTTGGAGATCAAACCGCCGTCAATCAGGCTATCTCATCAAGCTCCTCTCCTGTGTGGCTCCGCCCTCATCATCTATGCATGAAGGCCAACTGAAGTTGCGCACAACTCCAGTTTCTGAACTGTCACCGTCTTTGTTAACATGTCTGCTGGATTCTTACTTCCTGGAATCTTTTCCAGTTTCAACACGTCATCTTCCAACAGGGATCTGATGAAGTGGTACCGAAGCGCAATATGCTTCGTTCTAGAATGAAATGCTGAATTCTTCGCCAAGTGTATCGCACTCTGGCTATCACTGTGCAAAACATTCTTCTCCTGTTTGAATCCCAGCTCTGTCAACAAACCCTGAAGCCATATCATCTCTTTACTGGCTTCAGTCACTGCAACATACTCAGCTTCTGTAGTGGATAGGGTAACGATCTTCTGTACCTGTGACATCCAACTGACAGCTGTAGTTCCAACGGTGAATACATAGCCGGTGGTGCTTCTTCGGTGATCAACTTCGCCGCCGAAGTCTGCATCTACGTACCCTTGCACTTCTACCTCTCCCTTACCAAAGTGCAAACACTTCTGTGTGGTGCCTCGTAGATATCTCAGAATCCACTTGACCGCTTCCCAATGAGCTTTTCCTGGATTCGACATAAACCGGCTGACCACTCCCACTGCATGGCCAATGTCTGGTCTCGTACAGACCATTGCGTACATCAAACTTCCGATAGCTGAGGCGTAAGGAACCTGAGCCATACTCTCTTTCTCTTCTTCTGACTGAGGAGACTGATCCTTCGATAGACGAAAATGGTTGGCCAAATGTGTGCTCACAGGCTTGGCGTCGCCCATGTTGAATCTCTGCAAAACACGGTTGATGTACTCCGTCTGAGATAACTGCAAGAGACCTCTCTTCTTATCTCTCGTGATTTGCATTCCAAGGATCTTCTTCGCTGGACCCAAGTCCTTCATGTCAAACTCCTTTGACAGCTGCTGCTTCAAACTTCTGATATCCTCCATATCTGCTCCTGCGACCAACATATCATCAACATACAGCAGTAGGATGATATAGCTGGACTGATATCTTTTGAAGTAGTAACAGTGGTCGGCGTTGCACTTCTGGAAACCTTCCTTGTGCATGAAGCCGTCAAACTTCTTGTACCACTGTCTTGGGGCTTGTTTCAGGCCATACAAGCTCTTCTTGAGTCTGCACACCAGGTTCTTCTTCTTTTCTTCTGAGAAACCTTCTGGCTGGTGCATGTATATCTCCTCTTCTAGATCTCCGTGAAGAAACGCCGTCTTCACGTCTAACTGCTCGAGATGAAGATCTTCAATTGCTACAATACTCATCACGGTCCTGATAGTATTTAGCTTCACCACGGGAGCGAAAATATCGGTGTAGTCAATTCCTTCCTTCTGCTGGAAACCTTTGACAACTAGCCGGGCCTTATATCTTCTGGAACCATCTTGCTCCTTTTTCACCCGGTACACCCATTTGTTGTGGAGTGCCTTCTTACCCGTGGGCAACTCAGCTAGTTCCCACGTCTGGTTTGATATGAGGGACTTCATCTCATCTTTCATGGCAAGCTCCCACTTGCTCGCATCTCCACACTGACAAGCTTCATCAAAGCTTTCAGGCTCCCCACCATCTGTCAACAACAGATAGTTCATGTATCTCCTGTTGGGTACAGGAGGACGAGAAGATCTTCTTAATATCGGAGCTGGTACGTCGGGCTCCTGCGCACCATCTTGTCCAACAGGCTCTTCTTGCTGAGGACCCTCTGCATTGGGTTCTTCCGAGAGGTTACTCGGGACATCATCTGCATCTACAAATATTGACTCGCTCTCTGAGTCATCTGTCTTGTGCATGTCCTTGTACATCACCTTCTCGTTGAATATCACATCTCTGCTCCTGATCACCTTCTTGTTTTTATTGTCCCAAATGCGGTAGCCGAATTCATCTTCACCATAGCCGATGAAAGTGCATTTCTTTGACTTGGGATCAAGCTTATTCCTGCCTTGATCACTAATATGCACGTAAGCTACACAACCGAAAACTTTTAGATGTGAGACTTTTACCTCCTTTCCGCATCATACCTCCTCTGGTATTCTGTGCTCCAATGGAACCGACGGACCTCGGTTGATCAAGTAAGCTGCTGTGTTGACCGCTTCTACCCAGAACTGCTTCGGTAGGCCTGATTGTACTCGAATGCTTCTGGCTCTCTCCGTCAACGTTCGGTTTATTCGCTCAGCTACACCATTTTGCTGAGGCGTGCCGGGCACGGTCCTCTCCATTCTGATCCCGTGCTCATAGCAGAGCTTCTTGAATCCGGTGTCTTCATACTCACCGCCATTGTGGGTCCTGAGCTTCTTTATTCTCAGACCGGTCTCATTTTCGACCATAGCTTTCCATCTCCTGAAAGCCTCAAATACTTCTGACTTATGCTTCAGAAAGTAGACCCATACTTTCCGAGAGTGATCATCGATAAAAGTCACGAAGTAGTGTTTTCCACCAATGGACGCGGTGGTTGTTGGTCCCCACACATCTGAGTGAACGAGCTCTAGCTTCTGCTTCCTGGGGGTTCTGCCACTTGTCTGAAAGCTGACTCTCTTCTGCTTTCCAAGTATACATTCTTCACACATATCCATCTCCACTGACTGCAGTCCTAGGAGTTTTCCCTTTGTGTGCATGATTTTCATCCCCTTTTCACTCATATGACCGAGTCTCTGGTGCCACAGCTTTGAAGTCTCATTGCCTGCTGCAACTGAGATCAAACAACGTGCACCTGCTGTCATATATAGGGTACCAGTCTTTTCATATACAGGGTACCAGTCTTCTTGCCTCCGGTAATTGTCATTGCGCCCTTTGAGATCTTCCAATCATCTCCATGGAAGGTCGTGGTATATCCTTCGCCAGCCAACTGGCCTACGGATATTAAATTCTTTCTCAGGTCGGGAATATGCCTGACATCCTTCAGCTCCCATACTGACCCGTTCAACTTAATTTTCACCACGCCTTTGCCCACTATAGCACACGGTTGATCATCACCAAGATATACATATCCAAGATTTCCGGGGGTATACTTCTCGAAGAATTCTTTCTGAGAAGTAGCGTGGAACGACGCTCCTGAATCTAACACCCAAGATTCCTCCTTGCTCTCCAAAGAGCATATCAATGCGTCGTCTCCTCCTGAAGTGGAGGTGACATTCACCTCTGCCTTCGCCTCCTTCTCCTTCTGTGCACTCTTGCACTGATTCTTATAATGCCCGGTCTTTCCACAATTCCAACACTCGATAGCCTTCGAGCTGTTGCTTGGATTCCTTGATTTGGACCTCCTGTCCTTTGATCTACCTCTGTAGTTTGATTTTCCTCGTCCGTTTCCTCTGGTTGAATTTCTACCTCTTGACTCTGTATGCAATACTGAAGA